TAATAAAAAACTTTTTTTAAATAAAACTTCCAGTGTTGGGGCATTCACAACTTCTGGTGGCAAGTTGTTCCACTGATTAATTGTTCTAATTGTCAGGAAATTTCTCCTCAGTTCTAAGTTGCTTCTCTCCTTGCTTCTTGTTCTAACCTTGGGTGCTTTGGAGAATAGTTTGACTCCCTCTTCTTTGTGGCAACCCCTGAGATATTGGAACACTGCTATCATGTCTCCCCTAGTCCTTCTTTTCATTAAACTAGACACATCTAGTTCCTGCAACCGTTCTTCATATATTTTAGCCTCCAGTCCCCTAATCATCTTGTTGCTCTTGATTCTGTCCCTCAAGTCTAGAACGTGATGTTCTAGAACGTGATGTGTATTTATGTTACATATTTTGTACTTGCCTTTTTTCCCCAAGCAGCTCTTTTAGGAGCAGATATGACTGTAAAAATATATAATATTGGGAAGGGTTGTAATCCGAAGTACAAATTCAGATTGTATTGTGTCTCACCTGTATTTGGTGAAGTTGAATTTGGTCTAGGTTTTTTTTTTTGCCCCTTTCTTTCAGGACATTGTTGGACTAGGAAATTTGACAAACATCATAGTTGTAAAGTTAGGAGTTTGTGTATATGAGGCATGGTATTTACCCAGTTGCTGTTATGCTTCTTCCACAACATTGACAGAAGGGCAAAACATGAGCATACTTAAATACTTAAATGTAACACATGTTTTATGATGTTTTTAGATGGAAGTTTAACAAAAAGAGATCCAACCTAGAATTAAGTGAGAACAATTAAATAGTGAAACTGCTTGCCTCCAAATGTTGTGGGTGCTCCATCACTGGAAGTTTTGACCTTTCATCACTGGAAGAAGAGATTGGACAGCCATTTGTAGAGGGTGTCCTATTTGAGCAGCGGGTTGGACCAGAAGACCTCCAAGGTCCCTTCCAACTCTGTTATTCTCTATTTATGGATGTCCATCCTACAGAAATGTTCCTTTGCTAGTTCTGCAATCCTCTATTCTTAAGAATTTGACAGTAGGATATAAACTGCACTAGATATGTTTGAATTCTGCTAACTACAGTGGTACCCAAAAGTAGCACGCAGACTTTCATGCTATCTAAGTGCAACTATCTTTCTCTGAATTCTGGCTTGCTTATCAGGTGGAACATTTATTTGCTTCCATAAAATTGAAGCTGCAGTTTCTTCCAGTCAAGAAAAACATTGATATTTTATTTTCAGTGTATTCCATGAACCCTGAAAGTTTATATCTTGAGGCTGCACATGTGATCAGCCATTTATGATAATCCTCTTAGGACCCAATAAATCTTTGTTTTATCTAATTAAGCTGGTTAAGTGCAGAAAATGTGTTTCATAGTAGATTGTGTTCTGTTTGATAAGTTACAATTGGGGCAAGACTCATTTCTACCACCCAAACCTTGTAGTAAGATGAACTGTCATGATTTATTCTCAAAGGCCATGAAATACTTAACTCAGAGGAGTCCAGGAAGTGGGGTTTATACCTATAGAGGCTAAATAATTGTTGCTTTTAGAATTTGGAAACAAGGTCAGATTTGTGAGAGATCCTCAGAAATTATTTATCCCAAATCAGACTCTCCTCCCCAAAGATGTTGGAGTTGCATGATATATGATGACTTTGCATAAAGTGCAGGATTGTCCTAGCTGATTTCCTGGATCCCTTACAACTCCAAAATTCAATGAGTTCTGCCTTGGTTTACTTTACAAAGTAGTATTCCTATTGCTTCTACTTTTAAGCTAGCTTCAATTATTTTGGGGATATGTTTCACTATGTGGATTTATTCTGTTTAATATTTGATGACTTTGTTTGCCCTGTTGAAT